GACACTTTAGAACACATTGGGCAGACTTGTGGCGTTTGATACTCTTCCGTATGCCTTGTTTTCATATGACGTACCAAGCCATGTTTTGTTGTGAGCGTAGTATCACATAGATCACACTTGAGTAGTTTTCGGGACACACCAGCATGCTCAGCCTGATGCCGTTCTAGAGCATCACGCCCCTTCATCGATACACCACAAATGTCACATATTTTTGCATAAGCATTCAAATGCGTTATACGCATGTGTTTTCCTAATTCAACGTCGTCTGGGAAACTGAAAGAAATATAATTTTGAAATGATTGCATCGAAGTACATACATATATAGGTATACTTATACCCAGAACCTTATACCCTATATTAATTTTGCCACAAGTTTGTAATACCCAGAAGGAGACGTCCGAGACCCTCAGCATGACGAGCTAAGCCGATTTAGCTATGTCCGTCTATCCACCCGTCTTTCTGTATATACTATAGTATAAGCAGACCCTCTGTTTTTGAGATACTGAAAATTTTCACATGTCCTTTTCTTCCTAAGAAGTCGCCGATAGCGGCTTATTTTAGCTATAGCTATAACTTACAAGCTGAACGGTCAAAATCATGTCTTGTATAGAAAACCTTTTTATTTGACGAGATATCTTCACAAAATCCGGCTTGAATTATTGTTTAAGGCAGTGGTACAATCTCTGAAGCATATATACATATAGCATATAGCTTCCATACAACCTGATCTATCAAAATCCAGGCCAGTATGAAAAACTTTTTTCTTTGATAAGATATCTTCACGAAATTAAGCATTGATTATTTTCCAAGGCAAGGGTAGGAGCCATACAAAATGACCGACTCGTCAACTCGGCAGAATTCTGCCGCTACAACAACAACAACCGATCGCTTCCACGACAGTCGGGTCTACGTAACCGGAACGGACACGGATTTTTATCCGCCCAAGGACTGTCTACCCGCCAGCATTTCTCCAGGAATATTTTCTGCCGCACAACAACAACATGCAATCAAAATCAGGATCTTGTATGCAATCTATTTTATTTGTGAAGGGTATTATAGCTTCGGGGCAAACGAATTAACGTTTTTTTCTTGTTTGAAATATCTATAGCACTTACGTTTTACCACATTCTAAGCACAGTACTGTTTTTTGATCTTCTGTAACGTGAATATTATAATGCTGTTTCAAACAAGATGCACGGAAGAATCCCTTGGAACAAATTGAACAACGATGTACACGTTCCCGATTGCCATGCGCATACTGAAGATGAAGATCGATGCTACGTCGCTCCTTCATTCGCTTACCGCAATGCTTGCATTTGAAATAGTCAGGATCTTCATGAAAATTAATATGATCAATTAATAAACCGCGTTGACGTAATTTTTTACCACAACATAGCACATAACCACTTGTTTGATGCGATCCACGGAAATGGCTTTTCAAATGTGTGAAGTTTTCCAATGAAATTTGGCATATGCAACAAGTAAATTTAAAATTTTTCTTTGCAATATATTCATCTAATTCCTCCGTTTTTTTATTAACGCTTTTTCTTTTATTTATTTTATGAGACTTTCTTTTTGAGCGTTTATCTTCTTCATTTCCACTCTTTAATTCTTCTGAGTCTGAACTATAATCGTATGATGATATAGAATTCTCAATGCATTCTTCGAGTAAAGTCTCATCCGTAACATCTAATGCTTTAGAAACAATCTCTGATGAATTACCTACATCGTTGAGACTATTTGACGCTGGTAACATACTTTCTTCAACTTTAGTTTCATATTCCGTAAGTCGTTCCACGTGTGTGTCGTCATTAGATATGATTTCTTCTTTAATTTCTAAGCTATCCGTTTCAAAAGTTACGCTTTTCAAAGAGTACACTGCATCCTTGTGCACTTGCTTCACATTTTTATAAAATTTATGAAATGTTTCGACTAAGTTCCAACACTTTAGACAAATGATTTTCATTTTGAATTGAGACATCATATCCAGCTGAATAAAATAATTAAAATTTATATAAAAATGGGTAGATCCATACAAATTACGCACCTCCTCCTTAAAATGCAATTCAATTACTTCTCGTCCATGCAAATCGATACCTTCTTTGGAGTCCAAATCTATTTGATCCTTTGAACTTTCTAAGCATAGTAAACAACATGTCTCATTAAACATTTTAATATCTTACTACAATAAAAATTATCTTTAACAATGGCTATTAAATATAAATAAAACCAGGGATAAATATCTGAAAACAATCCAGCAATCAGTTATAAAGGGTTGCCAACCTGTTTCAAATGTGAGAACGTCTCAAAATTATGGCCCAGTCACATTCAACTTTCCTCGCTTTGCTTGACGTTTCATATTTTATATTACTTTTATATAATTAACGTTCTGTGGATTTCCTTTCCATGCTAATCTATATATATATATAAAAGAAAGTCGTGTTAGTTACTCCACTTATAACTCAAGAACGGCTGAACCGATTTAGTTGAAAATTGGCAGGGAGGTAGTTTAGAGCCAGGAGAAGGACATAGGATACTTTTTATTTTTTTATGTTAAAAGTCAATACAATTCATAAATAAAAAAAATTATATTTCAAATCATAATCATGTGTTCAAAATTCATATTAGAATCATTTGAATATTTTATTACTTTAAAAAAGAAAAAATAATAATAATATTAATATTGAAGTGAAGTTTAATTAATAATGCCGCGACCAAGACGATCGAATCTTTCCCGACAAAGCCGTGATGCAAGAACAATACGAAATACTGCAAATGAAAGGACTGAAGAAGAACAAGAAATTGCACGTGAACAGCGCCGCGATAGTATGGCTCGACTTCGTGCTTCTCAATCACGAGAGCAAAGTGAAGCAGCCCGTGAAACAGCTTGGTTGGCAATGCAGAATCGTCGAGCGAACAACAAAGGTCAACAAATAGATAATTTGCGACGCAGAACAAGATATTTATCAAGTGCTGATTTGAATCGAGCAGCGTTTCAATACGATTGCAGCAATGATTACAGCTTGCATCCTAGCGTTTGCATTGGGCAAATGGACGTAGTTTGCGAGTATTGTGGTGCATTAAAGTTTTCCGGAGAAACGCCTGGATTATGCTGCCTTAATGTTAAAGTGAAATTGCCATTCTTGACTCCGCCACCTGAGCCATTGTATTCATTGCACACAAAAATCACGCCACTTTCTTGCAAATACTCAAAAATACAATGGTTTTTTCCAGATGACGTCATTTGGGGCAGATATTATCGAAGAACGAGGATTTAATCCCGCAATTAAGGTATTTATTTTTGTACTTATATAGAATTTAGTTAAAGAATAACTTACTTTATCTATTGGTACCTATGTAGTATATTTGCTAATTTTGAGCTCTACTCTCCCATAGAAAAAAGTATTTATAACCCAGTTAATACTGTCTGGTTTTTATTAGAAAACGATAGTCATTGGGATACGACAATCGCTGAAGCCATTATCTCTGCATCTCCAAGTCAGATACGCACATTATTCGCTATCATAATTTCGACATGTTTTCCATCAAACCCATGTAACATGTGTCACAAATATAATGCAAGGATAACATGTCAGAAGATATTTTACATCACATTCGTGTCAGTTCCAGAAATCACGATATTGAGATGAATGAGGAGATACATAATCGTGCTTTACTCTTGATAGAAGATGTGTGTTACCTCATGTGCGGTAATTTATTAATCAGGTGAGGAATGCCAGCACCATATCGTGAAATGAATGACAAAGCGAGTTCACTCACCTGTTCAACCTATATCTTAGATTGATGTCTCTAATTAACGTGCACCTGTGCGGCTACATGCATCCAATAGTTGGCGCCATCTTAGCTCACCCTGTTTAGGCGCTAATGGCCGCAAAAGGTGACACGTTAAATTCCAAAATGTTTTTTGGTCAATTGTTTTAAAACGAAAACGACAACGGGAATAGGGCCGATTATATCGACAACGTACAAGGTGCAACAATCTAATGATATTATTCAGTGACGCAATGTACAATGAAGCATTGATTGTTATAGAGAATCATTGCATTGTCATCAGCAAGATGTAGGTGGAGAAGCTCATTCAGCATTTAAGCTACTNCCGGAGAAACGCCTGGATTATGCTGCCTTAATGGTAAAGTGAAATTGTCATTCTTGACTCCGCCACCTGAGCCATTGTATTCATTGCTTTGTGGCGAAACACAAGAATCACGCCACTTTCTTGCAAATACTCAAAAATACAATGGTTGTTTCCAGATGACGTCATTTGGGGCAGATATTATCGAAGAACGAGGGTTTAATCCGACATTTAAGGTATTTATTTTTGTACTTATATAGAATGTAGTTAAAGAATAACTTACTTTATCTATTGGTACCTATGTAGTATATTTGCTAATTCTGAACTCTACTCTCCCATAGAAAAAAGTATTTATAACCCAGTTAATACTGTCTGGTTTTTATTTTGTAGATACAAGGACAGATTCATCATCGAATTGGATCAATTCATTGGAAAAGATAAAATAATCTTCTACACCATCTTGGTTGTGAAATTTAACGCTTGTCGGAAATTCATTCGGAGAGTCACGTCACGGAAAAGTAAAAAAGATCTAATCACCATTATTAGTATCAATTAGTATGTTGATTTAATATATAAAATACATTTAAAAATATTTGCAATTTATTGAATAACACATAAAATTATTGTCCACAATATCAGATAATTTTGTAACGTCTAATAATTTATCGTTGGTTAACATCTCTAATTTACTTGTTTTTAACAGAAGCCTGCTTCAATTTTTAGACTCCCATTTCATATATGTATAGTACCTCAAAAGCTATAAAATTGAATACATCGCTTATTTCTTGCACTTTCACATGAAAGCCTTTTAAGCTCAAGCAAACTTTCAAAAAAAATTCGAGATAGAGCTTTGAGTTAAAAAGCCTTAAACAAATTTGCAGCTAGCACACAAAAATTTTTCAAAGCTATTTTGAAAAGGAAAAATCCATTGGGTGTAAGCTACCTATTAGCGCTTATCATAACGCAATCGCTTACTAGTTGCATTTTCACATGCAAACTTTTAAGGTTTCGAATTTGTAGGTTTTCACTAGACCTTTAAGACACAAAGTTAAAAACATTGGTTCACATTTACGGTCACTGACGTTTTTGTGGGAATGATCCCTTGGTTTACATTTTATGAGGTCAATGCACATTTTGTTTACATATAGTCAAGGCCACAACCTTGTCAACCATCCATATTTAAGAAAAAAAATTCGCAAAAAAAGTCTTTTTTATACCATGAAACCTTAACCCCGCATAAAATGACAAAAGATAGTGTTTTTATTCTTTGTAGTTATGTTGTAAAAACAATAAAGTACAAAAAATTTTGATTGTATATTTTTTGAAAATAAGTACAAACAATCCAAATCTCCGTAATCATTAGTGCTTGATAGAATGTTATATGCTTCTTGCGGATTGTGGCAGGAGTTTAAATAGGTTGAATCGCGAATTAATTTCTCAAGTCACAAGTCTCCATTTAAAGTTGCAAAACACTTATGAGCGAGTGGAATAGACAATTACCATCGCCAGGAATATCTGTGTCCTGTGTAGAATAACTTTGGGAGTAATGCATTGATTACGCTGGTCATAAATTTGAAGTGGTTGCTGTGAAATTCATTTTCTTGTAGCGTTACTTTTTCTATATTTTCAACAGCACTACATTGCACGACATTATTTTCATTACTGTCCAATTTTTCTCTTTTCCTGTGAAATAATATTGAGGCATATATTACAATTTGTTTTTAAATATTATTATTAAATCAAATTACATATCGACGTAAGATTTTTTCTGCCTTACGTTGACGAAATTGTCTTTGACGTTCAGCATTTGATTTTGGTACTGTTTCCTTTTTTATTTTTATTTTTTTTTTTTCATTTTTCTTCAATTCTTTCTGACGGTGGTAATATGCCCTTTGGCGTTCACGATTTCTTCTTCTTCTTAGCTCTTTAAGTTGTTCTTCTCTAAAAAACGAAAATAACTAAGTATAAATAATAGGTATAAATAATTAGGCATAAATAGTGTAATTACACCAAAACAATTCCGTAAGGTGGGGCTACTTGAATTTCGCGGGGTTTTTCAGGACGCCAAAAATTATAAACTTCAACGTCACCTATTGTCGGTCACACTAATAGTAGAAAAGAAAATCATAAATCTGATAACAGTACATCTAATGTCGAATCACAATGCGCGACATAAGTATATGAGGTTATTTCGTACTGGCTGAAGAAGCTTTTATCAACTAATTCGCTTTTTAAACAGGAAACATTCTAGGTAAGATTCTTGTTTAAATCATGCCAAATAGTCCCACTTTACGGTTATTCATTCAAAAAATTGCATAGCTTCTATCGCTGGCTTTGAGCGCGGCGACCGAATTAAGATGATCCGTAACGGAAACGATCTAACACGATCACAAAGTGTTTATGCGTATTTTCGCATATCTCAAGCGAAACAAATCAATTGAGAAGGCAGAGCAGGGTAATTCAAAAATAATAACATTTAGTATACAATTTTTTTAATGCAAATAAACATATGGAATTTAATAAAAAATTTTATTAATAAAAAATAAATTGTACAATCTTCAGAGTCATAATATTAGTAAAATTATTATTATTTTGGTAAATAGGTACCCCACCTTTTGGAACAATATCTCGTTTGAATTGAACAATACAATTGAAATTAGGTATTTCAATTTGATTATCAATGGTAATGAATTTCCACTTATATTGGTTGGCGATTTTAACATCCACTTCGCTGATAAAAAATCAGAGCGGTTGACAACTTTTCTTTCGGAAAAATTAAATTCTATAAAGAAATATGGGACCACCATTTACGCGGTATTTTTCAGATCTTTAGAGGATATCAAGTCTAAAATTTGTGTTTCTTATTTTCTTATTTCAGTTTCCATAAACCTATAGTTTCAATGATAAAAATTCCTGAACAACCTACATATATTGCAAGATAATAAAAATCTTTTAAGCAATATTTACTTCTCATTCATTCCATGAGGAAAAACTAGTTTGCTTATCGGTCACCACGCTCAAAAAATTCAAAAGAAAAAACTTGAATTAATATCAAAAAAAAAAAAAAGAATACTGCATAGATAATAATTAAATAATTATAATTGCATAAGTTGATAAAAAAAGGTGCAACACGTATTGTTTTTCTTGTTTAAAATATCTATAGCACTCACGTTTTACCAGATTCTAAGTACACTTCTGTTTTTTGATCTTCTGCAACATGAATATTATAATGCTGTTTCAAATAAGATACACGTTCCCGATCGCCATGCGCATACTGAAGATGAAGATCGATGCTACGTCGTTCCGTCATTCGCTTTCCGCAATGTTTACATTTGAAATAGTCGGGATCTTCATGAAAATTAATATGATCAATTAATAAACCGCGTTGATGTAATTTTTTACCACAACAAAGCACATAACCACTTGTTTGATGCGCTACATGGAAATGGCTTTTCAAATGTGTAAAGTTTTCTAATGGACTTTTACAAATACAACACGTAAATTTAAAATTTTTCTTTGCAATATATTCATCTAATTCCTCCGTTTTTTTATTAACGCCTTTTCTTTTATGTATTTTATGAGACTTTATTTTTGAGTGTTTATCTTCTTCATTCTCCCTCTTTAATTCTTCTAAGTCTAAACTATAAGCGTATGATGATATAGAGTTCTGAATGCTTTCTTCAAGTAAAGTCTCATCTGTAACCACTAATGCTTCAGAAACAATCTCAGATGGTAATATACATTCTTCAACTTTAATTTCATATTCCGTAAGTGGTTCAACTTGTGTGTCATCATTAGACATGATCTCTTCTTTTATTTCTAAGCTATCCGCTTCGAAAGTCACGCTTTTCAAAGAGTACACTGCGTCATTGTGCAGTTGCTTCACATTTTTATAAAATTTATGAAATGTTTCTACTAAGTTCCAACACTTTCGACAAATGATTTTCATTTCAAATTGAGACATCAAATCCAGCTGAATAAAATATATATAATTTTTTTAATAATGGTTAAATCCATACAAATTACGCACCTCCTCCTTAAAATGCAATTCAATCACTTCTCGTCCATTCAAATCGATACCTTCTTTGGAGTCCAAATCTATTTGATCCTTTGAACTTTCTAAGCAAAGTAAACAACATGTTTCATTAAACATTTTAATATCTTACTACAATAAATATTATCTCTAACAATGGCTATTAAATATAAATAAAACCAGGGATAAATATCTGAAAACAATCCAACAATCAGTTATATAGGGTTGCCAAACTGTTTCTAGTGTGACGTCTCAAAATTATGGCCCATTCACATTCAACTTTCCTCGCTTTGCTTGACAATTCATATTTTATACTACTTTATTATAATTTTAGTTCTGTGGATTTACTTTTCATGCTAATTTCCAATTAAAATAACGAACGTTGATTGGCAAAACATGTAAAAAACGAGAGTTGTCAACATTTCGCTTTAGTTTTGAAGGGCATATCACAATTTAAGAAATATCTATATGATTTTATCGATAAATAATTTGGGAAACTTTTATTTTTATCTTGAGCCGTTCGCAAATCTCTTTATTTGGAAATTTGTTTTATATTTTTTACATATACCAAATATTTGTGTCGAAAACAACGAAGAGTATTTTGTTTTTTACTTACTGTATAAAATTGTTTAATTACCTATTCTATTTGCTACATAGACCTATGTTTATACCCCTATTACAGTTTTCCATTCCACTCAGTTGAATTGAAATAAATAAGGTCTATTTTTGGTATACAGTCGGGCCTAAGTAATCTGAACGGACCTGGATTTTTATCCGGCCAAGAACTGTCAATTCGTCATCATTCCTTAAAACTACATAAGGTTGTTTTCTGCCGCAACAGCAAGAACTCTGTTGCAACATGTTGCGAAAGTATAAAATATCTCTTTAATCTCAGCCCCTCAAAGTAAGTGGTTTAGGTTAAATACCATTTAATTTATTTGCTGTGCTTTACCATTTTTTTTGAAAAAAGCAACAAATTAATGCTTCTAAATCACAACATTTAGATAAAATAATATTTAAATATTTTGACGCTTTCACATTTCCTGTAACAACCCACTAAAACATTTTTTCACCAAATTTGTTATCTTAGTCTGTTGCGACAGTTTGTTTTAAAGGTACCGCTAAGCTTTTCTTCAACGCGCACTGTTCGGCCCACTCCTTAGCGTGTTTCTTCCTTCGATGAGAATACATATTGGCATTAGATTTGAAGGTTTGTGGACAAAAACTACAGGTATATAAATCTTCTCCGGTATGGGTGGCCATATGCTCCTGCAATTTGAAATGTGGAAAATTATAAAATTAACTATTTGATCTATAAAATATATGCACAAACTTATATCNATAGTTGACCTTCTACCGAAAATATCAGCCAATCCACAAAGAAATCTCAAACGAGTATACCATTTGACTTTGCGAGAGTATAAAATGTTCGGTTACATCCGAACTTAGCCCTTCCTTACTTGTTTTTGTATTAATTTCAGTTCTGACTCATATTTTCTCAACCAATAAAATATTAGTATGGATCTACTGACTAGTGGCTTGTAACTATTCATTTGTATTGGTCTATTGGTTTGTTTTTGCTCTTTATCGTGTACCTTGTATCTACAATGCGTATTTCGTCTATCATTACACATTTTTTCTATGTATCGGGTTTTATAATAGGGATGATATGATTTCTAAGTGTCGTTTCCATCCATTTTTAATAAGTCAAGATCTGTAATTAAATCTGAATTAAATTTTATTATCAAAATAATCGTTCTCCAATTGCAACTTTTCGTGCGCTTTTGTCATTTAATGGTCGTCCACATGTACTCGCTATTCGTAGAATTGTTGAAAATTTCGATCGTACATTTTCTTAACATAATGTTCAAGTATTCAATAATACAAAGAACCGCTCGAAGAAATGAAAGTATTGAAAGTATTGCTATTGTAATGTTGCTGAAAACCGCAATTTTTCGTTTCCAAGGCATTCTCAAGAATTGGGACTGACTCAAACAACAACCTGGTGGATTTTGAGAAAGGAACAAGAACTGAAGCCGTTGGACCAACGTAAGCGTCGTGAATTTGCTGATTTTGCTTTGGAACAACTTTAAAACGATGTAATCTAATGGTGTTACATTACAACTTTTTGGAGGCCATTCTATGTCACAATGTCTTGAAATTATCGAATCTCCAAATTTTAAATAAAATACCTGCACATTATTCACTTCACTTTCGCGCTCTCTTCGCAGTGCTAACATACATATATATATGTATTAAAATAATAAAAAAAATTACAAATTATTTCAAAAAAAATTTCGATCCAGTAAACAAATAAATGATGAGAAACTAATAAATAATGAAATAAAAAATAAAAAGCGCGGTTAAACAAAACTTATAAATTTGAACAATATACATTCATACATATTGAAACATATTTAATTGCAGTTTTACATACATCTGTTCAAAGTCCACATTGCCATCTATCTCGCAATACCCCTTGTAACAAAAAAGCAGGATTGCGTACAAAAATTATAAGCGCACATAATCAAAAAATTACAATTACTTATTAATAAAAATATAGTAATATTTCAAGTTAATACGAAACTGTATTAATAAACGTTTTTAAAGATATAATATTAATAAAAATAAACTCTTATTCACCCAAAATATTATTTGGTTTAACTTTACTTTATTGCGGGTTTTTACACTGAGAAAATTTTACGCATATTTTAATATACAGCAAAAGTGTTGAATGACAGCAAAAACCAAAATACGCTTGCAGAAGCTAGACGCGCAAGACAGGTTGCTAAAAATCAAATAAAAGTTAAAGATTTTTCTCCTCCAGTTAAGTAATATTCCGCATTCGATTTTCATCTTCACCAATTAAAGACAACTTTGAATCGTTATCTATATACATATATAAAAGAAAGTCGTGTTAGTTACTCCACTTATAACTCAAGAACGGCTGAACCGATTTAGCTGAAAATTGGCAGGGAGGTAGTTTAGAGCCAGGAGAAGGACATAAGATACTTTTTATCCCGATCGACAGCATTCCCGTGTGACTTGACATTAAACGTCAGTCACTATAAAACGGGGTATAATAAAAAAGAATCAGACTTGGAATAACAAAACGCAAATGACAGCTATGTAATGACGTATGGATGACAATTTGATATTTGTAAGAAATCAATAATAAAACTATTTCTATTAAATAAATAATTAACAATTATAATGATAGTGCCATTGCCCATTCGTATAAACAGTGAAGTGAACTATAAAACTCGGTATGGTTGAAAATTTGAGTTTGAGTTTAAGTGAAGTGAAGTTTAATTAATAATGCCGCGACCAAGACGATCGAATCTTTCCCGACAAAGCCGTGATGCAAGAACAATACGAAATACTGCAAATGAAAGGACTGAAGAAGAACAAGAAATTGCACGTGAACAGCGCCGCGATAGTATGGCTCGACTTCGTGCTTCTCAATCACGAGAGCAAAGTGAAGCAGCCCGTGAAACAGCTTGGTTGGCAATGCAGAATCGTCGAGCGAACAACAAAGGTCAACAAATAGATAATTTGCGACGCAGAAGGCCTTTAGGAGGCCCATTGTGATACCACTGGGACTGTGATCCCTCACTCTACTGGCTCTCTCTGAACCACCCCTACTTCTGATGAACTTCATCAGTGTGACAAGTTTTATCTGTGCAACCTCCGAGACGTCGTCAAGAAACCCACGACCCATGGTTGCGATTCTTTTCCTAGTGCTGCGCAATCGCATAAAGATGTTTAATGGTCTCCTCCTCTTCTACTTCATGACAGCTTCTACAATAGTCGTTATATGGCGCGCCAAGTCTACTTGCATGTCTGCCTATTAGACAGTGGCCTGTTAGTACTCCTACGAGAGTTCTTATATCATTCTCTTGAATTTAACAGTCGGCTTGTGCGGCTCATATTCCATTCTGCCACGTTTGCCTGCTGGTTGGAGTAGGTCAGGGATTGACTCCACTGACACTCGGCTATATTAATGACATGTTTGTCGATTAGGTATCTACACGTAGCCAGAGGCATATTTATGTCCACCTTACCAGGATCTAGTTGTAGGGTGGTGCCTGCTCTGGCTAGTTCATCTGCTACGCAGTTACCAGGATGTCACTGTGTCCTGGAACCCATTGCAGATTTACCGTGAAATAGGATGACAGATCCGCTAGAAGATCATGGCAATCCTTCACTGTCTTCGACGAAATCCTATGAGACATCAGAGATTTCAAAGCCGCTTGGCTGTCTGTATATATAAATACACTTCTTGTTGTGATTACGCTTTTTGTTAGTACAAGAAGGCTTTCTTTAATTGCAGTGACCTCTGCTTGGAAGACACTACAGTGGTCTGGTAACCGGAAGGCGATTTTGGTATCTAATTTAGCCGAGAAGACACCGCCGCCTACTCGGTTATCCAGTTTGAACCATCCGTATAGAAGCTAATCCCTTCTTCCTTGTCCACTACATCCCGTTCCACCTCTCTGGAGGGAAAGGTAATATTGAGGACCGGATTTAGGTTCAGCTCCACCGGATTGCGAAAATCCGTAGTTATGGGAAGAACCGGAACTTCCTAAGTATCCTAGAATGTCCCTTGTTACAGGCGACTAATAGGGAGGCTTCTCAGTCTTAGAGCTGACTTCGCTGCCATTTGCTTGCAATATAAGTCTGTTGGCAGCAAGTGTAAAATTATGTTGAGTGCCTGGCTTTGCGTAGTTCTGAGAGCTCCACTGATGCAAATACTAGTGCTCTTTGTTACTTTCCATACTTCTAATCGCATATTTCTTTCTGTAATTGGCCACCATACTACTATCCCGTAGGTCATGATCGGCTTACAATTGCTGTGTACAGCCAGTGAGCCACCCGAGGTGTCAGTCCCCACCTGGGCCCCACCATTCTTTTACATGTGTAAAGCGCTGTAGCAGCTTTTTTACCCTCGCTTCCAGGTTTTGTTTCCAAGAAAGCTTCCTGTCCAAAATTAATCCCCAAGTAGCTTGCTTTATCCCCTATCTTAGCCTGGTGCCATTTAAAATGGCGGCGTGATTTCGGGAGTACTGTGTTTCTTAAGTAAACAATACTAGTTCCTGTGCTAGCATTAAATTCAGTCCGCATGACCCATCGATTAATCTCGTTTAGTATTGTCTGCATGAGACTAGCGAGGGTGTTCGGGAACTTGCCCCTAACCGAGACTGCCACATCATCAGCGTAGGCCAAACATACCCTTCTTTCTAGGTCCACAAGCATTTATTTCATTGTCAGGACCCAGAGAAGTGGGGATAACACGCCTCCTTGGGGTGTACCCTTCGGACAGATCTGTACATCGTTGAAGCTCCAGCATGAAATAATTGACCGCCAGAAGCATCTGTTCAAATTAATTCCGGAGAGGTTCAGATATGCCCAGATCTTTAAGCGCGCTCAATATGGCCTTCGGCTGGATGTTGTTAAAGGCACCTTCTATGTCTAGGAAGGCTACGAGGTGTATTCTTTATTTCCAGAGATTTTTCAATCTCTGCTACCACTGAGCTTAATGCCGTTTCTGTGGATCTACCCTTCGAGTACGCATGCTGCGAACTGCCATTTTCTTGGGTTAGTATGTCCTTTATATGTATTTCTATTAGTCTTTCCAGCGTTTTTAAAAGAAATGAGAAATACTAATTGGTCTAAAGTCCTTGGATTAATATGTGAGCTTTTGCCCGCCTTGGGATTATATCACCTTAACTTCCTCCATGTCGAGGGAATATAGTTCAATTCAGCGCCCCTCCTAAACATGGTTGTTATCCAGTTTATTGTGTAGCTCAGGGATTGCTGTAACTGGGCCGGGAATAGACCGTCTGGTTCCGGCGTTTTATAAGGCTTGAAGCTGCCCATTGCCCAATAAACATTGTCATCTGACATATGTCTAGCGGAGGGTCTCTGAGCTTACTTCATCCCCATTATATGCCCCTGTGAGGTTCTCAGAACTGTCTGGGAAGTGAGTGTCCATTAGAGGCCCAGAGTCTCTTTACTGGATTCCGTCCAGCTGTGATCTGGCTTCTGAAGGTATCCGATGCTATGTTTCGACTGTGTCATTATCTTCTCAGTCGTTACACTTCTGCTGTATCTTTGATGTCGCTACAAAAGATTTCCACGAATTTCTTTGCTTTTCTTACCTCCTTTTGTATGCCCGAAGTGGTGTGATAGTTATCCCACTCTATATCTTGGGATAGTTTAGAATTGAATTGCCTCCTGCAATCTTCTGCATGTTCTTAAGTATTAGTCCACCAAGGAGGTCTAATTCCTC